CAGTTCAGGGGCCTGGTCAGGGCTGGGGGACGGACCTATGGCCCTGAGGGCGGGGACGGGGCTTGGGCTCAGAAGGTGAGCCAGGGATTTTGGGGGCGAAGTCAGGGCTGGGGTCTCAGAAGGTGAGCTAGGGCTCCCGAGGCGGAGTCAGGGCTGGGATTAGATCTCTTGAGGTGGGTTAAAGCTCAGGGGGCTGGGAGCCGGGATCAGGGCACATGGAGGCTCAGGGGTCCTGGGGACCGAGTCAGGGCTGGGGACAGGCCCTGGGTTCCTGGGGGTGGGGGGGGGGGGTTTCACAGTGCAGGGGCGTGGTCAGGGCTGGAGGGCGGCCCCGGAGGCGGACCCACGGCTTCTGGGGGCGGAGTCAGGGCTAGGGGCGGGCTTAGGAGGCCGTCCCGGGGCTCCTGGGGGTGGGGCCACGATGAAGGGGTGTGGTCAGGGCTTCCAAGGCAGTCGGGGCTCCTGGGGGAGGAGTTAGGGCAGGGGATCAGGTCTCTTGGGGTGGGCTAAAGCTATGGAGCCGGAATCAGGGCACTCGGAGACCCAGGGCTCCTGGGGGCGGAGTCAGGTTGGGGGCGGGCTACGACGCCTGGGAGTGAGGTGCAGTGCAGGGGCGTGGTCAAGGCTGGGGGACGGGCCCGGTCGCGGGTCCAGAGCCTCTGGGGGCGGAGTCAGGCCTGGGGGCGCTTCACTTATCAAGAGGTGGATTTGAACTTGGGTACACACCCACCTTTGGGACCACACACGCAAGCACCATGCCAGGCACAGTCCCCCGAGCACGAGGGCCCTCACAGGCTGGGGGAGGCGAGGGCAGACAAAGACACAGCTCCAGGAGTGGGTCCGGCACGGAGTCAGCCTTCCCCGGCCCAGCCTCGCCCACAGTCACACCCAGTCACAAGTCGTCCACATAGACACACCATCACATAGTACCGTGACGTGGACTCCTGGGGGGTCCGAGGACTGAAGGCCCAGGAAACAGGCGCAGCAGGATCCAGGAAGCACCCAGCAGTGGGTGACTCCCTCAGGAACACAGTCTCCTCTTTGGCGGCCCCCTCTGTTCCCTCTGTCCCCACAGCCTGTCTCTGTCTCTGTCTCTCTTCCCATGCCTCTCTCTCTGTCTCTCTCTCTCCCTCTCCCTGTCTCTGTCTCATTCCCCATCCCTCCCCCTCTCTCCCCCTCTCCTCCTAGTGTCTCTGTCTCTGTCATCACAACGCTGTCACTCTGCCCGATATTCAGAGACACAAGCTGTCAGAGTCATTCACCCAATAGCACCTCGACGCTCACAGGTACAGCCACACAACCGACACGCTGTCACACACGAAGTCAGCGTGACAGGAGGAGCTGCGAAGGTACAACCCCAGGGCACCGGTCACATGGAGCTGCCTCGCGGCAGTTCTGCGGTCACGGACGGGAGGACACTGAGTCACGCCTGAACTGTGCCCCCAAGCACAGACAGTCACATGCACACTAAGATACCTGTGACACCAAGGACGAGGCACCCCAGGAACCAGCCCCAAGGGCTTCCCACCGTGGCCATCGCGTCAGCACCTGGGGGTGAGGACTGGACTCAGGTGTGTTGGAAACCAGTGGCCCGAATCTCTGTCTCTCCATCTCTCTCTTTCTCTCACCCTTCCCGGCCCCCTGGGATGCTCTTAGGCAGACATGAACTTAGGCCATCTATGACTCACCCCCAACCATGGGCCCAGAGCCTAGGGAGATTGAGACACAGAGAAAGAGGAGAGAGGGATGGGAAGGGAGACAGACAGAGACAGAGATGGGGGGACAGACAGAGAGAGGGATGGGAAGAGAGAGAGAAAGAGAGAGAAAGACAGAGAGGGAGAGAGACAGGCAGAGAGATAGAGAGGGATGGGAAGAGAGACCACAAGAAAGAGAAAGGGAGAGGGAGAGAGATGGAGACAGAGAGGCAGAGAGGGAGGGGGAGAGACACAGAGAGAAAGAAAGGAATTGGGAAGAGAAACAGAGACAGAGAGGGAGAGTGAGGGAGACAGAGTGAGAGAGAGAGAGACAGAGAGACAGAGTGGGAGAGGAAGAGACCGAGAGAGGGGGGGATGGGAAGGGAGATAGAGAGAGAGAGAGGGAGAATAAGAGAGAGAGACAGAGAGGGAAGGGAAGAGAGACAGAGATAGAGACAGAGAGACAGGGAGAGAGAGAGGGAGAATAAGAGAGAGAGAAAGAAACAGAGGGAAGGGAAGAGAGACAGAGATAGAGAGACAGGGAGAGGGGGAGAGACACAGAGAGAGGCAGAGAGAGAGGTATGGGAAGAGACAGAGACAGACAGAGAGACAAGGAGGGAGAGGGAGGGAGACAGAAAGAAAAAGAGACAGGGATGGGAAGAGAGACAGAGACAGATGGAGGGACGGAGAGAGACAGAGAGGGAGACAGAGAGAGAGAGAGAGAGAGAGAGAGAGAGAGAGAGAGAGATAGGGAGAGAGAGAGTGAGCGCCCTAGGTGGACAGCGTAGAGAGCATCTAGCCATCCGTGAGCAGGGAGACGTCATGTCTAAACAGGGACAGAGGGAAGACACGGAGAGCCCGAGAGACAGTGTTTGAGACACATACTCAGAGACAAGCTGACAGAGGCATGGTGAGATCGACTCAGAGACAGAGAAGTTAAGGGAGATAAAGAGAGTTGGAGAGACACTTCTAAGCAGAGACTGAGAGAGACCCATTTGGAGAGATGTGCATACAGGCGTTCTGGAGGCGGAACATCCAGGGCACATTGCTGTAGGGAGAGTGGGGTCGCAGAGACGGCTGGCTTGTAGGGGGACCACCCACTGGGGCCTCTTACCTGACTGCCTCTGGGCTCCTGGACTCTGCTTCTGGGCTGAGCTCCAGCCTGCTGCCTCCTGCAGGGGCCTCCGCGGGGCTTATAAGCCTTGCAGCCTGGACTGGCCTGCCCCCAGGGGACACATTCCAGGGGTCAGGTGCTGCAGGCTTCCAGCTCAACCCTCTCAGCCGGCCTCCAGGTTGGGGGCAGGGTGTCCGGAGGGGACTGGGGGATCCTGAGACCCCACTCCACGCTTTTTTTCAGCATCCTCTCTTTTATTCTTTCATTAAATTTCTCTTTCATTCTATCTCTATCATTTTTCTTTCTCTTGTTTTCTTTTACTCCCATTCTCTCTTTTGTGCTTTTTTCCATTCTTTCTTGTTCTTCATTTCCTCTTGTTCTCTCATTCTTTTTTCTTATTTTCTCTCTCATCTCTTTGTCTTTCTCTCCTCCCCCCTCCTCTCTCTCACACTTCTCTCTCCTCTTTTTTTTTTTTTGAGTTGGAGTCTCACTCCGTCGCCCAGACTGGAGTGCAGTGGCCGCTCCCGGCCACCGCAGCCTCCACCTGCTGGGCTCCGGCGATCCTTCTGCCTCAGCCTTCCGAGTAGCTGGAACTACAGGCGCGCGCTACCACGCCCGGCTAATTTTTTATTTGTTGTAGAGATGAGGTCTTGCCAAGTTGCCCGGGTGGGTTTCCAGTCCACGGGCTCAGGCAATTCTCTTGCCTCGGCCTCCCAAAGTGCTGGGATGACAGGCTGAGCCACTGAGCCCAACCTCACTCCTCTCGTTCATCTCTCTCCTCTCTGTCTCTCTCTATTCTGTCCATCTCCCTCCTCTTTCTCTGTCTCTTTCTCTCCTCTCCCCTCCCCTCTTCCCTCTCTTTCTGTTTCTTTCTCTCCTCTCTGTCTCTGTCTCCCTCCCCTCTTCCCTCTCTCTCTGTGTCTCTCTTTTTTCTCTCTCTCTCCCTGTCTCTGTCTCTCTCTCCCTGCCCTCCTTCCCCCCTCCCCTCTCCTATCCTCTTCCTCACCCACCTCCTCCCT